GGCTGCGAGCGCAGCGGGCGCAGGACCCCCAGGCAGCGGTGCACGCTGATGCAGGTGAGGAAGAGGATGCTGCAGTAAAGGTTGGTGTAGAAAAGGAACCGCACCAGCTTGCAGAGCACCGTGCTGAAGGGCCAGTGGTCGCCGCGGGCGTAGTAATAGACCAGCAGCGGCAGGGAGGCCGCGTACAGCGCGTCGGACACAGCCAGGTGGAACATGTAGGTGGTGGAGGCGTTCCAGGTCTTGAGGCGGCAGAGGAAGATGTAGAGCACGGCGACGTTCAGACACAGCCCGAGCACGCACACCACGCCGTAGGACACGGGCAGCAGCACGTACTTGAAGTCCTCGTTGAAGCGGCACTTGTAGACTAGTTCATCCCCATTCCACGTGTCATTGTTGGTGCCGTTCAAGAGGCCCGGGCCTGCGGCCATTGCCCTGAAGGAAAGGGGGCGGGGTGGGGAGAACAGCCATCAGGGTTTTGTCCAGGACTCATCCAAGAGGCCTGACACACCCACCTGACCAGGGATATGAGGGACCTCAAGTACTAAGCAGATTCCTTTGGTTAAGATCTGCCCAACCACGTTCAAGGCCTTCTGACCTGGCTTCCTGGAACCTCCCAGAGGGCCCAGAACCTCAGAACCCTGGAACCTCCCAGAGGGCCCAGAACCTCAGAACCCTGGAACCTTAAAAATGCATGAGAATGCATGAGATCCATAAATATCAGGATCATACAATTTTAAACTTGAGAACAGATATAGGTAAACTACACACTAACAGTCAAATCCAACCCAATAAAGCTTTATTGGAATACAGCATATCCATCTGTTTACAAAGAACTGAAGAGTTTCGACAAAGACCATCTGTTCTGCAAAATCTAAAATCCTTACCAACTGGCCTTTTATAAAAACAAAGTTTGGCAACTCTATTCTAGAACCTTAGGAGCACAGCATTCTAGATCTGGGATTCTGAACTCCTAGAATCGGAGGATTCCAGAGGGTATAATTTCAGATTCATGGACAGGGGCCCTTGAGGCCTATGGACTCCACCTCACACCCAGTGCCCCCTGCCTTCTGAAGCGTTTCTGGCCAATGGGCAGCCCATACCTTCCTGGGGGCATCAGAACAATCTTTCCTTTAGCTTATTCTTTGGCTCCCTAGGGAGGTTCTGGCCCAGTGCCTGGTATTTTGGTATTGAGGAAGTATTTCCAAGGGTCTCCCTCTTCAGTCACTCATTCATTCTCTCAGCAAATATTTTTTAGATACTTTCATGTTCTGGCACTTTCTGCATCTGCAAGCTGCTCTCTGGAGTGTGAGTCTACCAGATGGGGCAGTGACCCTCCTGAAGATTCCAGAGAAGTCTGGGGTGGGGATGGGAAGTCTGTGGACTTCATTTGTGAGTCAAATTCAGCTTCCTCCAGGCTTACCCAGCTTTCCTTCCACACTATCACTATTTTGAGGTTCCCCTACCTTGTCCCTAGTGGGTATATAACACACCCACAGGGCCTGACTGCCCAGTGAGCACCTGGAGAACAAGGTAGGCACCTTCCTCCTCTCCAATGTGATCAATAAGCTCTCTCACTCATCTGGGAGGCAGGAGACAGATATCCCAGAATGGAGGGTGACGATGTGCCCAAAGGCCCCAGAAGGCAGGCTGGAAATCCTAGCAGGAGTCCCTGGTGGACAGTTTGGGACAAACACAAAGAATAACTTTCTAGCCCAGCCAGTGTGGCTCAGTGGTTGAGCATCAATCCATGAACCAAGAGGTCACCAGCTCAATTCTGGGTCAGGGCACAGGCCCAGATTGTGGGCTTGATCCCCAGCAGGGGGTGCGCAGGAGGCAGCTGATTGATGATCCTCTCTCATCACTGATGTTTCTATCTCTCTCTCCCTCTCCCTTCCTCTCTCTAAAAATCAATAAAAACGTATTTTTAAAAAAGAATGATTTTCTAACAGTGAATGGGAAGAGGGGGCTGACTTTTTCAAACCATATTACTCTATGTGCTTTATAAATGTCACCTCGTCCCGTCCTTACAACATGCTTCTGGGAGCCAATAAAGAGACTGAGACACAAATCATTCAAGTTATGTGACCAAGGTCACAGGCTGCAATTCCTATCCGGGAATCGGAAGGTGCTATCAGCGGGAGGTAGTGAACTCTCTGCTATGAGGTTGTGCAAGCAGAGTCTTCAGGAAGGCTCGTGTCCTGCGTGTGGGGGTGTGTCTGGGAGGACACAGAGGGCAGATCAGGTGTGAGTCCTTCCTACCCTGATAATCTGGGGCTGTTCAATTCCCTTCATGTTGGACACTGGGGTCCTGAGAGGCTGGGACTTGGGGATTCTGTCAGGCCAGCGATTTCCACTCCTTTAGACCCGAAGCTTCACGCCCAGCCTGGCCTCTTAGCAGCAGTTCAAGGCCCTTGACGTTGAGGTTAGGGGGGCTGAGGACACAGGTGCCTCAGTTTCCCTTATTTCCCAATACTCCATTACTCCCCAACCCCAGAGCTTTCCTGTCTCCTGTTGTCAGCAAAGGTGCAACCAGGAGGAAGGGAGCCTATACTGGTGACCTCCCTCCCATGGTCATAGGTTCCTTCCTGAGGAGCCAGAGCAGATCCAGGATGAGGAGGCAGGGAGAAGCCTTTGTGGTACCAAGTTGAGAGGGAGCAGGGATGGAGGGGCTCTGGAAGGGCTAAACTGCGGGGGTCCCTCTTGCCTGGGGCCTGGACTCAGGACCTGGCATTAGAGCATTTCCTGCCTCCCACCCCTGCTCCAAGCAGCCCACTGTCGCCTCCACCTTGCCGTTGGAGCCACTGCATCAGCCTCTCTGCCTCCAGCCTCAGTCCTCCCCAATCCAGAGGGGTCTTTGTAAAAGACAAAGTCATTCCCCTGCTTGAAGCCCTCCATGGCTCCTGTCTGCTGTCAGGAGAAAGCCTTCCCGGCCTCACCAACCCCAACCGTCCTCTGTGACCTGCTGTTTCCTGAATGTGCCCAATACTTCTCCTCTCTCAGCCTTAGTTCATGTTGCTCCTTCAACCAGGAATCCACTCACACCTTCCATATCTACCTTTATCCTTCAGAGCAGCTAGCCCCAGTGATAACAAAGAACCTGGCCTCTGGAGTCAGACCTCCCAATTCCACTTCTTTTTTTTTTTTTTTAATATATTTTATTGGTTTTTTACAGAGCGGAAGGGAGAGAGATAGAGAGTTAGAAACATCGATGAGAGAGAAACATCGATCAGCTGCCTCCTGCACACCCCCACTGGGGATGTGCCCGCAACCCAGGCACATGCCCTTGACCGGAATCGAACCTGGGACCCTTCAGTCCGCAGGCCGACGCTCCATCCACCGAGCCAAACCGGTTTCGGCCCAATTCCACTTCTATAAAATGGGGTGATTATTGGAACCGCTGTGAGGATTAAGTGAGTAATCGGTATAAAATGTTTGGAGCAATGCTTGGCACACAGTAGGTATGCTGCGGTGTTATGAGCTTCAAGGCTCATCAGCTCAGATGTGGCCTTCTCTTGAAATCTTTGGGATGCTCTCTCAGGCCACTGGTGGAGGAGCAACAGGTCTTGACTGAAGGTAGGTGAGTGTGATGGGCCAGGGGAATGCTGATGAGCCTGAAGCTAGGGCCAGGCCTGGGACCTCGGAGGGGAGAGATCTGAGAGCTTTTTGGGAGAAAGGCTGGAGAGACTGGCCCAGAGGAAATCTGGATGGAGTTGGGCAGGAGAGAGAGGCAGACAAGAGGCCCGGCTCAGGGGTTGGGAGGAGGAGCAGGAGAGGGGAGAGGAGGGATTCAGTGTCAGACATGGTAAGTGTGGGGAGCCCTGAAGGGGTATGGTGGATATGGGCATGGGTGAAGGCTGGGGCCATCAGATCTGACACTTTGGGAGATGGGCTGGGAGTTGCTGGCTCGCAGAAGCTGCAGGAGGAGTGTGGAGGCCCAGGCATGAGGCTGAGGGCCTGTAGAAGGGCCACCAGCTTGGGGTGTCCAGCCCTGCCCCAGAACCTCAGTGGCATCAGCCATTTCCTGCCCTCCTGAGACTCGGACCTCTCACGGGCTGAATTCCCTGGCCTTGGAGAACTGCGGCCGTAAAACCTCCCTCATGAGGTCCTCTTCCCACTGGAGGTAGGGAGAGTGGTCCCTCCAGGACACCCAGTCCCACTCTGCTGCTTTAGCTCCAGCCCCAAGGCAGGTGTCTCCTCAGAGTCGGGCCAACATCCCATTGCTCTGCACAATGCTCTTGCTAATCACTTGTGGTGGAATCTCTGACACTAATGAGAGGGGTGGAGACTTCCTTAAGTTTCCAGTGAACCTAGGGAGCTGCCTTTTCCACCTGCTCTAAGATATCCCGGCCTCCTCCCTCCTGGGCCAGCTGGGGATTCCATTGCCATGGCCCCCATCCAGACTGACTCTGCCCACCCCCTCCCTCCGCAGGCTGGCTCACCAGCCTGTGATTACATCTTTCCTGCCTCCCCAGCCTTTGCTTACGGAGATAGCCAAGTCCCTGGCCCTGTCTTCTGCCTTTTCTGACCTCCGGTGCCCTTGGGGCCTCACTCCCTGTTCTCTTGGGACTGGCTTCTGCCTAACTTTGCCTAACACCACTCACCAGCCCCTCCATGTCCAGTTCTGGCTGGCCCTGCCCTGAAGAGCTCCTAGTCTGGAGGGAGCTATGAGCCGTGCAAGTGCCCTACCAGGCTTCCTTGCCTTTGTGCGTGCTGTTCTTTCTGTCTGGAAACTCACCCACATTGCACTCCATCCTGCCCATCCCTCAAGGTTCTTTTCAAATGTCACCTCATCTCTGAAGCTGTCCCCCTAACACTACCCCCAGGCATTCCTCATAGCCTGTTAGTAATTTGTCCGTCCACCTTCTACCGCAACACATTCCAGGTACTCCCAGAGGACTGGGACTATCTGATTCTTTTCTCTGTCCCTATCCAGCAAGAGGACTGATTTAACACGTTAGGCGCCCAGCCTGTTTTGTCTTCCGGACAGAAAGTATAGTGTCAGTCACCGGTGACTGACATGGGGCTAAATGTGTTAAAACAGGTATAACATGAATGAGATAATGAATGAATGAATGAATGAACGAACGAACGAATGATTAAAGCACAAAAGGCTATGGGAGCCCAGAGGAGGATGACTCTCCTTTCCCTTATTCCTCTGAGAGCCCCCAGAGGACAATGGCACTTAAAGATTTCTTGGCTGCTGACCCTGGGTGGCCAGGAGTCAACCCAGCTCTCCTGGGGCCCAGCCCACCTAAGGTTCCTGGACTGTCTCTCTTTCAAGAGTGCAGAGAAGGCCCTGCCCTTCTCTGGGCAGAGGGAGGGTACCTGGACCCACATATTCTGGAGATGGGTCAGCGTCTGAGCTAACCACATTCTTCTATTTCATCCACCTCTGGCTCAGATCCTAGGCCAGCCCGGGTCAGGAGCTCCTGATCCCGGAGCCCCATCCCCGCACTTTGTAAAGGTCAAGTCTGGGATGAGCAGCCTCTCCACACAGCATCTCAGTTTTATTCCCCACCCTCATTCCTCAGCAGATACTGCCACTGAGCTCCCTGTTCAAGGTCACACTGCCAGGAACTGGAAGAATTGGGCTTAATACCCAGGGCTGTCTGGCTCCAAAGCCTGCATTTATCACAGCCTGGGATGAGGGAGCAGGCAGGGATCCCTTTGATCTACCCCCGGTTCAGTGTACACACACACATGCACACACCTGCCCCAAACTCCAGTGGGCCCCGCCCTCGCACGTTCGTACCTGACCGGCCCCTGCTCTCGCTGTCAGGATGCTCAGTGCCCGCTCAGGTTCCTCACTCATGAATGCACAGGCTTGGACAGGGCTGCAGGGAACTCTGCAGGAAACAGGAAAAACAGGTCCCCCGCCTGGGGCCGCACCCAGCTTCCAGCATTTCTCAGGATAGGCAGTGTTGTGGGCTCCTGAGACACAGGGAGGTGGAGACAGTGTGGGCTCTGGATCATGGGAAGCCAGCCAGGCCCAGCCCTCCCGGGGCCACCTGCTCTGCTCCAACCTTGGCCTGAAAGAGGCAGAGAGGTGACCTGGTGTGCTGGTCCCAGTAGGGGTCTCCTCTACCCACCAGCCATCCACGCTCAGCTTACAGGCTCCAGGGATGGCGGTTCCCGGCCTCCTTCCCCAGGAGCCCCTTTTCACAGGAAGGTGGCTCTGCCAGAGAAGGTCTCCCCGTGTCCGGCAGAGCTGAGCTGAGCCTCTGAAGCCCCTTTCCTTGATTTTGGTTCTGTGCTTCAGCCCCACAGCAGGAAACAGTCAATACCCTCCTTGCCCGGTATGCACTTGACAGTACTGCAGCCAACCCAGTTTTGCTCAAGCTGAGTCTCTATCTGGAATATCCCTTTTCTCTCTAATCATTCCTCCATAGGTGTTATAAACACACATGAACATTCACAGGCATGGACACACCTAGATACACAGCTACACAGAGATGCATACAATCACACTGAGACGGACACGAAGTGCACACACACAGTCCTAGTCAGAGCCTGAAATAGCCTTTAGAAATCAGTGTGCCAAACTCCCATTTGGCAGAAGACATTGAGACTCAAGGCCTCACAGTAAGTCAGCGACGCAGACAAGATCAGAAGCCAGGCCTTCTGGGCTCTGGCCCTGGTTTTTATCTTGCCTGGGAGCCCCTCACACACACCAGGCACAGGGCTGCAGTGAGGGTGTGGTTACCTAGTAGACCCTCTGTGTGGACAGGTCCCAGCATCCATCAGAATCTCAGATACATCACAGGGGGGAAAGAACATCCCTTTTCTGTCGCTTTCATTTCTCCACAATGGGGAAGTGGGGTTCGAGATAGCCGAGGCCAGGTCCCCAGGCTGGGGTGCAGCACGAGCGTGGCGGAAAGTGGAGAGAGGAGATGGGAGGCTGCAGGAATAGGACGGAGTAAAGGCACTGGGAAATAAGCCTGGGCACTGTGTTCCTAGTGGGCCTTGCCCCAGGATCCCCAGGCTGACCTGGGCCAGTGGGCAGGTAGCTATGTGTCAATCTGCTCTGGAGTCTAGTGACAAGATGAAAGAACTTCACCTTTTCACCCGACTCCGCCCAGGTCACACCCTGTCTTCTCAGGAGAGGCCTTCACTCAACAGACTAAGGTGGAGCACAACTCTTTCTCAAAGCCACCCTCCGATTTCTGAGAAGGGTCTCCACCATCCATCTTTCCAGGCTTCAAACCTCTAATATGCCCTTGACAGCCTCTCTCTGTCCCACCCATGTGAAAACCATCACTCACCAGCTCCTGTCAGTTCAACCAGTACAGTGACTCAGGGATGGCATTTCCCCCACCTCCTGGCCTTAGGCCTGCATTTCTCCTCCACATTGTACCAACCCCCTCTCTGGGCCCCTTGCCTCTGCTCCTGCCCTCCTGGCCATCTTTTGTACGGCAGTCACAGGTCTTCTTAAAACATGAACCTGACCATATACTGTGGAGCTCAGAACCCTTCCATGGCTCCCTATTACCCTTACTATGTCCAAGCGCCTGAGCCTGACGCTCCAGGCCCTGCCAACCCTCCAGACCAGTGGTCGCCAACTGGTGGTCTGCGGACCACTGGTGGTCCGTGAGGTCCGAAAGGTTGGCGACCGCTGCTCCAGACAGCCCGGCCTCTCTGCCTCCGCCCTCATCTTCCCGTGCCAAGCACAGCAGAAGCAGTCTCATGGTCGATCTTTGCTCAGGAACACTTCCCTTAACTTCTCACAGTAATATAACCAGAGAGGAGTGCTTTCTCTGCCAACGTCCATCTTTGGTGGCTTCACAGATCCCTTCTCATTTAATCCCGAGGAGCTTAGAGAAGCAGAACAACCTCTCCAAGGTCACAAAGCTAGCAGATGGCAGAGCAGCCTGGTCTGTCTGACTTGAGGAGCTGTGCCCCTGACCACCACCTGCTTCCCTCCAAGGCCTAGGGTCTCCCCTCCAGGAAGCTCCCTGACTAGCCCTCAGTGAGCCCCATGGCTCTGCCTTCCTGGTCGGTTCTCTACCACAGGGAATGCCCTACAGGCAGGGCCCAGGATCTACTCTTCCTGGCACTTTCTAGGTGTGAAGCAGCCATGATGGTTTTTGTACCCATCTCACAATAACTAAGGCCAGAAAGTGCCAAGCCAAACATGCAGAATACCTGCCCCACTGACTTGGCTCTGCCTCTACCCACCCTGGGTCCCAGGCCAGTGCACCCAAGGCCGGGAGGAAGGGCTGGGCAATTCCCAGGCCAGCTGAGGAATTTCCAGGGTGGTTAGAAGACATTCCAGCTCTTCCACTAGGGTGGCTGTGGAATGTACCGCTCACCCAACCACCTAGCTGGCCCTGTCCAGACTGGAAGGGGATTGTGACCCATCACCATTCGGGAAACCTCTGCTGCCTGCTTCTGCTGTGAAGGGAAACAGAAGACCTGGGCCTGGAATATCATCGAAGGACAGGGGAGGGCCCCAGGCAGGTGGAAAATCCCAGTTCTGTCATTCTCAGCTGTGGGACCTGGACAAGTCTCCTCTTCACAACTAAAGTCTCAATCCCTTGCCATCTAAGAACAGTATCTTAGGAAGACAAGAGGGGCAGGAAACCCACAGGAATTTGGGGCACAGTAGCAAGGTCACAGATCAAGTTTCCCACACTGAAGGCCACCCTCAGGGGCCCCCAGCAGGAACTTGATCCCACCACATTTCTTCACTCACTCACCCTTTTACAGAGGTCGTCACGTTGATGCCTGTCCCTGTATAAGGCCCTTGGGATTCTAAGGTGGGTCACTGTCAAGGTTGGTGAAGAAGGGGTAGGTAGCACATGGGAGAAGACCCAGAAATAGGTAATGACAACTCAGGGTGATCAGGGCTGAAGAAAGCAGGGGCAACAGGGCTCAACCAGACAAGAGGACCCCTAATGGGAATGGGGAGGTGGTCAAGGAAGGCTTCCTGGAGGAGAGGACGCCTGACCTGTATTTTGGAAGGGGTCAGGTGAGTGAAGAGAGAAGAAGAGCAGAGTGAGCAAAAACCAGGGCAATAGATCACACAGTATGTTTGGGGAACTGTTAGTCATCCCTGCGGATTGAGGGGAGAAGAGAGGACAAGGCTGGGTTAGAAGACAGGGAGCACCTTGGAAGTCATTCTCTGTCCTCTCCCAAATCTCACCCACAGAGCTGAGGGCCAGTGGGCCCCAGCCTTGCCTGGAGTGTTTTCTACACCAGAAGCACTGGACTCATCTGGGGAAGTAGCTGAGGGGGTAACCTCAGATGTTATCGACAGGTGCAGTTGCAAAGTAAAACCTCCGCAGCCTCTCCAGGAAGCCCTTGTGCTCTGCAGCCCCCCTGGAGGCACTCTCCCTCTTGGGAGCCCTTAGAATCTTGGCTGTGGGGACCACATGTTGGGGTTGAGCTCAGAGCCTCTGAGTGTGTGGGTCTCAGAGCAGCCTGTCTGGTCCTCCCACCTCAGATCAGGTAACTGAGACTCCTTAAGAGTAAGGGCCTTACTCAAGGTCTGGTGTTCTAATTCTAGTATTTTCAGTGTGGAGTTGAGCACCTCCACCCTCACCCCAGGGCAGGACTCCAAACTACCTGTCCTACTACCACGGTCCAGCCTAGCCCCACCCAGCACAGGCTATAGAGATGCACTGCTAAGCTGAACTAGTTCAGAACCACAAGGCCCTGGACTTCACATCAACCTATCACAATCCAGATGCCTCCAGCCAGACTCAAGAGGCGAGAACCCTGGGTTCAGGCTCCAGCTTGGAACTGCCCATGCTGTGCAATCTCGGGCAAATTGGTTCCCCTCTCTGAGCCTTGTGTTCTTCAGTGGTCAATTGGGGACAGTCACCACCACACAAGACAGCTCACGAGGAATGACAGGTGGGTGCTCCATGGGGCTAGCGAATCATGCACTGTCCTGCTGTGAGGGCTGCATCTCCTGTCATGGCAGAGACACTGAAAGACTTCTCAGCAAGGGGCCCTCCTAGGTGATCCAGCAGAGGGGCCGTGGTCAGGACAGTCAGGGAAAGTTCCTGGAAAGGGCTGTGATCAGGTATGAAGAGAAGCAGAAAGAGTCCAGGTTGGAAGGAAAAAGGGAGAATGGAGCACCCAAAGAAGAAAATGGGACAAAGCTGTAGAATGGGATACAAGTGAGTCTGTGATTCTGAGACTGTCTCATTCCGAGTGCTTCCAGGATTCCGGGTTCATTGGTACTTACAGTCCAATTGCAAGAGTCTCTGGTTCTTGGAGTAAATGCTAAATGTTTCTTTAATTCTGTTACTTGTTGCTCTTGAGATTCTCAGAACCACAGCCGTCTGGACCCTCAGAACAACATAATCATGAGTCTTTTTCCCAGGAGCCAAAGTCTCAGCAAACACCTGCCAAGGCCCCCATGGGCCTGACCTCAGAGGGACCCTGCAAATCCAGACTCAGACCAGACTCAGCCAAGCCCTGAAGAGCTCCAGTCTGAATGGGAAGAAAGCTACAGACATGGATCAAGTCTACTGGGGTGACCACGTCATGACCAAAGGAAGCCCAGGGGCCATGGAGCTCATAGAGCCCCTAACCAGCCTTGTAAGTTGGCCAGGAAGAGCTTCCCAGAGGAGGGGTCATTTGAGCTGGGTCCTGATAGATGAGTAGGAGTTTATTAGGTGGATACAGACCTAGGAGAGCATTGAAGGCAGAAGGAAGAGCAGGTACAAAGACTCAGTGGTGTGATAGTGTGGACTGTTTGCCTAAAGCCAGGGGTCATGTGAGGCTGGAATGGAGGGACAGGTGACACAGAATGTGTATGTGCGAGGGGGAGGGCTGCAGGACTCACATGGGATGCCAGGCTGAAGAACTTGGCCTCTATCCTGAGGACAATGGGAAGCCATGGCTGGGCTTAAGCAGGGAAGGACATGGTCTGAGTTGACTTTTGTAGAGATAGTGCTACGTGGAAGGTGGTTAGGAGCGGGGAGACTCCCCCAACGCAGGGGGAGAGGGGAGGGTCATGTGGGCCCCCAAAAGTCTGAGGGAGGCCCTTCTCCCATGCTCCAGGGCCCAGGCAGTGCCATTGTCAATACAGTAGCAGTGACAGGGTACCAGGATAGAGGGCCAAGGAGGAAGTAGTTGCCCCAAAGGCCCCAGGCTGCCCACTCTCACAGCAGGGACTCTAGTTATTCATCCTGAAGCAGAAATGACTCAGGGCTAAGATATGCTGAGGCGAGGGAGTGGAGGAACTCCTCTGCTCAGGAACCAACTGTAGCTCTCCATGGCGCAAGGCCCTCCCCTTCCACTGTCCGCCCACTTTCACCTGGTCATTCATTTCCCAAACACGTACTGGCATCTCTTTTAGCCCAACCTGTGTGGCATGATGTGGACATAGAGGGAAAGCAGGCCTGGCCTGGCCAAGTCCTGCGACTGATCTCTCGGATGAGTACAGAGGTCAGGATGGGCCCCCACACCGGCCTCCCCACCGTCAGGCCTGAACGGCTGGGAGGCCAGGCCTGAGATCACAGAGGCAGCCCAAGAAGAAGATGTAGGCCAATGGGCACGCTAGGCAGGCCCACAGAAGGCAGTTCAGGGAGAGGAACGATTTCATTAGGGGCACCTCTATCTCCTCTCACCAGATCAACAAGGCTTCCCTAGTCCCGAGGGCAGGCCTGAATGGGCATTAGATTATCAGCGTCTGGGTAATCAGGCCTCAGCACGACCTAAAGACAGGTTTTCAGGGCATGATTCAAACTTCCTTCAGCCCGAAAGCCCGAGGGCCAGACTGCATCTAGATGGGGCTTCTGTCTTGAATGGGGAGATCTAAGCTGGGCCAGGTAGGCAGGAGCCCAGCTTTTACCTTGGCGTTGTGACCTTGTTTCCTGAGCCCCTATTTGCTCATTTGCAAAATGGAGATAATAATTCCTCCCTAACAGAGGTGGTGGAGGGACATTTATAAATTAGTCCTAGTGAGCAGCGGTGGCACAGGCAGAGGAGGGCAGTCAACAGTTAAAATTCCCCAAACAGTTAACGTGATCCCTTGCTATTGCACCTATTTTCTGTTATTGTCTTCAAAATGCCTTTCAGTCTGTGAGTATCACACTTCTTCCCTGTGCATTGCAGCGTACAAAGCCCTTTCTTGACCCCTAACTTAAGAATCCTCATAGCATCCTCGCATTTGGAGAGGTAAGGATCATTGGCAGCCATTTATGAGGGTCTCCCACTATGATCCTCCAACCCATTTGGCCAGACCTCAAGACAGCCCAAGGCAGGAAAGAGAGAAGAGTGACAAGCCGGCCATGCCAGGGTCTCCCCACGCACAAATTCTCAGCACAGGGCCTTACCGGTTCTAGCCTCCTTTTAGAGGTTGGCGAGGTAGGAATTGCCCCAAGGTCACCCGGCAAGTTGGGGGCAGAGCTAGGATGTGATCAATCACTCACTGGTCCCCTGGCTCCCTAAGGGGGAGGGAAAGTCCTAAGTGTCCTCAAATTCCTCAGCAGAAGCATCGGAGGGGTCAGGGAAGTGTTTAAACAAGGGGGTAAGGGCTCATAGTTGAAACAATGCCTGGATGATTCTGGTATCAATATCACAAATGCCCTGACCTCCATGCACTTAGCACTACTCAATCCATTCTCCACCCTGCAGCCAGAGAGCTTTCTGAAATGTGCTCTGAGCATGAATCTCTCCTGCTCATAAACCTTCCATGGCTCCCTATAGCCTTCAGATGAAATCCAAGTTTTCAGCCTGTTTACTCTGGGTCCAGTAGTGCCCCAGGACACACTGTTCTGATATCCTGTGCCACCCACTCTGATGACCTAGTTCTGGTTTCCCCTTCTTTGTAATGACATAGAGCTCCACTGTAGAAGGCCTTCATTGGAGAAGCTGGGGACAGGGCAGAGGATAGGTGCTGCTGTTGCTTTCTCAGTTCAGTTCAGCCCTGTGCAGGGTGCTGGCAACACAGAAATAAACCCCAGTTCCTGCCCTCCAGGGGGCCTCAGACCTGGGGATTGGAAAGGAGACAGACAGAGGCCATGATAGTCCAAGTGAGAGCAGGGTTGTCAGCACTGGGACTGCAAGATCCCAGAAGAACCCAAACTAACTGGGGGATCAAGGAGGGCTTCCCGGAGGAGGAGACATCTGAGCTGGGCCGAACTGAGGAAGAGGAGAGGAGGGAGGCATTTCAAGCAGTGAGCTGAGCATACACAGTGATCCAGAGGCAAGGAGCTGCCCAGTATGTGTAGCAGACTCCATGCAGTTACTAGCGGGTGAAAAGTCAGGTGGGAGAGGGGGCTAGGGAGGCTGGCAAGGATCGGTTCTTGGAGGCCTTGAGTCCCAGGCTGAGGGGTTCGGGCTGGGTCCTGTGGAAGTTTAGCTCAGAGAACTGTTGGGATTTGGGTTTCAGGAAGTTCCCTCTAGGTCCTAGAGCAGTGATGGCGAACCTCTGACACGCGTGTCAGAGGTGACACGCGAACTCATTTTTTTGGTTGGTGTTTCTTTGTCCAATGGCATTTAAATATATAAAATAAATATCAAAAATATAAGTCTTTGTTTTACTATGGTTGCAAAGATCAAAAACTTTCTATATGTGACACGGCACCAGAGTTAAGTTAGGGTTTTTCAAAATGCTGACACACCAAGCTCAAAAGGTTCGCCATCACTGTCCTAGAGTCTAGGAACCGATCCCACCCCCAAGCTGTGAGCGTGTCCAAGAAGACATTGGTACTGAACAGGACCCAAACACCAGCTCCTCAAGAGCCCTCCAGTTCCCCATCATTGTTATTTCCCTTTCACAGTGAGCCCATGAGGCTCGGAGTAGGAACATGCCTTGCTCAGGTCACACAGCGGCTAAGGCAGGATAGGAATCGAGATCTCTGATTCTCGGGGAGCTTTTGTGGGCTCTGTCTGCTCAAAGAATCTCCTTCCCAACCACTCCTACCCACTGAGATAACTGAGACTTTACTGGGACCTCACCCTGGCCCTCAAAAGCTCCCCTTATCCCAGCCTAGATCCAAAACACACCGGGCACCTAAGGCTGAGACCCCAAGGATACGGAAAGGAACAGTTCTAGTCCACAGCAGGGCTTGGCCCTTATGTCTAGCTCCAAGGGTCCCAAACCTGCACCCTGGTTGGGGAGTGGAGGGAGGGCACTGCCTTTTTCCAGACAGACCCTTCCTGCAGCACCACCGGCCAGATTAACAGTCCCCTGACAGCGGCTTAACTGTCCTTTCAGGCCACTGCCCCAATCACCCCCCCACCCCCAAGTTTTACCGATGCCCAGGCAGGGGGCGAGCCACCCAGAGTGCCCCGGAATGAGCCGGCCTCTTTGGGTTCGTG